TGCCCAGTGTGACCGTATGACAGTTTCCGCCCTGACTACCGGCAGTGTGAGTGCTGCCCAGTGTGACCGCATGACAGTTTCTGCCCCGACTACCAACAGTGTGAGTGCTGCCCAGTGTGACCATATGACAGTTCCCGCCCGACTACTGGCAGTGTGAGTGCTGTCCAGTGTGACCGTATGACAGTTTCCATCCCGACTACCGGCAGTGTGAGCACCCAATGAGATGACCATTCATTCTTCTCCTACTGCAGGTCGTTATTGAAGTATTAATCAGGACTGTATCAGGTTGACTGACTGGCCATAAATCAATTGGATTATAGTATATTTTTGCATATAAATTAAAGAACTGATTTATAATCCAATCAATTTATGGCCAGTCAATCAACCTGATTCAGTCCTGATTAATACTTCAATAACGACCTGCATTATCATTCTCTCTTTACATAGACAGGTGTTTCCAGCTGCCAGGTGTTTCTGATAGGTGTTTTTTGCTTGAATACTCTGGGGATGGATTTTATACACTTTCATTAAAATGCATAGGAGCAGTTTGGTTCTTGGACAGATTATGAAACCCTCTAATTTTCACACAGCAATCATGTGAATTGTTGTTTGTTTTACACCAAACAAACTGTTCTGAAACCTTATTGTGATTTGACATTACATTGTTAAGAAAATGTTCATGTTATCTTTCATCAGTTTCATCTTTACACTGACCATAACCCCCTCCTTTAATAACTCACATCAATGCTAAATCACACCGACCATAATTCACACCATCACTAACTCACACCATCTCTAAATCAGACTGAGCATTACTGACATCATCGTTAACTCACACCATCTTAACTTACACTGACCATAACTTAGACCATTGCTAACTCATACCGACCATAACTCACACCATTCATCACTCACATCAGTGCTAAATCACACTGAGCATAACTCACCATTGTTAACTCATACTGACCATGCCTCTCACGGTCACTAACTCATACTGACCATAACCTGCACCATCACTAACTAACAGTGACCATAACCTGCACCATTGCTAACTCACACTGACCATAATTCACACCATCGCTAACTCACACTGACCATAATTCACACCATTGCTAACTCACACTGACCATAACCTGCACCATCACTAACTCAAACTGACCATAACTCACGCCATCACTAATTCACACTGACCGTAACTCATACCATCACTAACTCACACTGAGCATAATTCACACCATCACTAACTCACACTGACCGTAACTCATACCATCACTAACTCACACTGACCATAACTCATACCATCACTAACTCACACTGAGCATAATTCACACCATCACTAACTCACACTGACAATTCACAGTTACCATAACTCACACCATCGCTAATTCACAGTGATCATAACTCACACTGTCGCTAACTTGCACCATTTCTGTCTCACACTGGCCTTAACTCACACTATTGATAACTCGCACCATCGCCAACTCACACCATCACTAGCTCACTAACTCTCCTCCTCCTCTTATTGCCCTCTCACACTTCTCTCTGTGTGTCTAGGTGTGAACTCTTTCCTCGTGTACCTGGCCTATAAGGACATTTTCCAGCTCTCTGACTCCCAGGTGCGGTGACTTCCTGCTTCCTGTAGGGCCAGGTGATGAGGTTCTCTCCAGTGCACAGCACAGTGGCCACTCTGCAGGCAGCGCCAACCCCTTCTCACAGGGAACTTTGTGCCTCTGACTTGTATTTTTGACTGATAAGTTTGGACCCTGCAGACCTTTGAGAAGCATGTCTGCATGCCGGTGATGCCCCCTCGTTGACTCTGACCCCCTCCCTCATTGACTCTGACCCCCTCCCTTGGTGACTCTGACCCTCTCTTTCTCCCTGGCAGATCTATGAGGTGTTCAGCGTCATCCGTGACCTGGGGGCCATCGCTCAGGTCCACGCAGAAAACGGCGACATTGTGGCTGAGGTAAGTGGAGCCTCCAAGGGCCGACCTTCATCCGGACCCCCCCCCCCGACCCTTTTCTGATGCCCCCTAACAGGAGCAGCGCCGGATCCTGGAGCTGGGCATCACTGGACCCGAGGGCCATGTACTGAGCCGCCCGGAGGAGGTGGGCACTCGAGGCTCGAACCCGGCCTCTGCCTTCCTGGCACAGAGCCAGCATCCGGCTTTACCTGACGCTCCTTTTGCCCACTCTTTCAGGTGGAGGCTGAGGCGGTCAACCGCTCCGTCACCATAGCCAATCAGACAAACTGCCCCTTGTACATAACCAAGGTGATGAGCAAGAGTGCCGCTGATGTCATCGCCCTGGCCAGGAAGAAGGGTGAGGAGATGCCCCCTGCGGCCCAAACCTGAGCTGAGCTCTACGCAGAGCATGTCAGGCTGAGCTCTGGGAATCACATCATTAACATTAACATTTTAACATAAAAATCTATTTAATTACTGCAGGCACCTTGCCTCCACCCTAAATTATTAAACTATATTAATGTTGCAGTAATGTCTAGACACTGGTAAAAATTATGATAATTTTTTCATCAGGTGATGCATAAATTCTGCCCCTTAAAATAGCAGCCAGCTGCTCTTGGCCAAGGCCAGAAGCCTACAGGGTGGGTGGAGCTTTACTCAGGGCTAAATAGACCAATCAGGCTGCTTCTCTCATTCACATTAGAGGTTTGCCTGTGTCGCTGCATGTCATTCGCCGCAGGTACCGTGGTTTTTGGTGAGCCCATCTCCGCCAGCCTGGGCACAGACGGCTCACACTACTGGAGCAAGAACTGGGCCAAGGCTGCAGCCTACATTACATCCCCACCCCTGAGTCCAGACCCAACCACCCCCGACTACCTCAACTCACTGCTGTCCTGGTAAGGGTGCCGGGCCAGTCAGCCCCACGTGATGGGATCTGAGTCAGCTGGAGGTGTGGCAGCTAATAGCACTCTGACGCAGGGCTTTGGCATGGAAAGCCACGTCCTCGCAGACCTGTTTGCATTCATTGGCGGCGCCGCCCCAGGCTGTTTGGGCTGCGTATTACCTGGCATCACCCTGCTCACTCACATCTGTCATTTACACTGTAATTAACACCCCCCCAACTAAAATGCTGTGCTGTTACTCTGGCTTCTCGTTAGCCCTGGGGGGCAGTGCGAGTTGCCCTCCTGCTCTGCTCACTGTCTCTGCTTCCCCGCCCCCCCAGCGGGGATCTGCAGGTGACAGGCAGTGCCCACTGTACCTTTAACACTGCCCAGCGTGCCGTGGGCAAAGACGACTTCACACTCATCCCAGAGGGTACTAATGGCACCGAGGAGAGGATGTCCCTCGTGTGGGACAAGTGTGTGGTGAGGGGCACACTCACATCACATAGACTGCTACACACACACCGTGCTGACTGACACTGACATACTGTGCTGACTGATACTGATACAGAGACACATGCACTGACTGATACTCACATACTGTGCTGACTGATGCTGATACAGAGACACATGCACTGACTGATACTCACAGACCATGCTGACTGATCCATGCACACTGACTGATACACATAGACCGTGCTGACTGATACTCACATACTATGCTGACTGATACACATACACACACTTGTATTCATATCTTTGTGGGGACCGTCCATTCATTGTTATTGGAAAACCCCTAATTCCAACAATGAACACCTTACCCTCTACTGAACCCTAACCTTAACCATAAGTAACCAAACAAAATACAAGACTTTTTTAAGTGTTTGATTGCAGTCACAGATTTTTATAACAATTGGTCCCCACAATGGATACACACATCGTACTGACTGGTAGACACACCATGCTGACTAACACACTTCCGATTGACCTATAGTTTCTCTCGAGGGTGTCACTGAAACATCTGCCATTTTCTCCGAAGGTGACAGGGAAGATGGATGAGAACCAGTTTGTGGCAGCAACCAGCACCAATGCTGCCAAGATCTTCAACCTGTACCCTCGCAAGGGCCGCATCGCCGTGGGGTCCGACGCCGACCTCATCATCTGGGACCCAGATGTCACCAAGATCATCTCTGCAAAGACCCACAACCTGGTAAGTAGAGCAAACAAACAATAACAAACAATTTTATTTTTGTATAGCGCATTATCACAACATTACATCGTCACAAAGCGCTTTACAGCATCCCCACCCAAAGCCCCCAGTGAGTAAGCCATAGGCGACAGTGGCAAGGAAAAACTCCCCAGAAGGAAGAAACCTTGGGAGGGACC